TCCACAACCAAAGCAGTGGTATTGGTGGTGGTGCCACGGGTGGCCCTGGTGGCTTTGGAGGAGGCTCTCCTGGTGGAATGGCTGGCCAACGCCCTGGTGGAATGAGCAAGCCAGGTGGCATTGGAGGTGCTGCCGGAGGGCTCGGTGGCTTTGGAGGAGGCTCTCCTGGTGGAATGGCTGGCCAAGGTCCTGGTGGGCCAGGTGGCATCGGTGGTGGTGCAGGAGGGCCTGGTGGCTTTGGAGGAAGCTCTCCTGGTGGAATGCCTGGTCAAGGTCCGGGTGGAATGAGCAAGCCAGGTGGCATTGGTGGTGGTGCAGGTGGGCCTGGTGGCTTTGGAGGCAGCTGTCCTGGTGGAATGCCTGGTCAAGGTCCTGGTGGAATGAGCAAGCCAGGTGGCATTGGAGGTGGTGCCACAGGTGTGCCCTGGTGGCTTTTGGAGGATGTGCTCTCCTGGTGGAATTGGTCTGGCCACGCCCTGGTGAATGATGCACGCTCAGTGTGCATTGGAGGTTGCTTACCGGTAGGACCATTGGTTGCTCGGGATGGTGGCCCGGTGGAATGAGAATAGGGGGCCAGGTGGCCATTGGATTGGTGCTTACCGGAGTGACCAGGTGCATCGGATGGTGGCCCCGGGGATGATGCAAGCCGGTGCAATTGGATTTCCGGAGTTTGGTCAGGTGTGCATCAGGGGTGGTCCGGGTGGATATGTTGGCCAAGGCCCTGGTGAATGATAAACAGGTGGTTTGGTGGTGGTGCAGGAGCCCTGTGGCTTTGGGAGGCAGCTCTCCCTGGTTGGAATGCGCTGGGTCAAGGTCCTGGGGAATGAGCAAGCCAGTGGTGGCCATTGGTGGTGGTGCAGGTGGGCCTGGTGGCTTTGGAGGCAGCTCTCCTGGTGGAATGAACCAGCCCGGCGGCATTGGTGGAGGGGGGGCACCTGGTGCAATGTCTGGCCAATTTGGCATGTCCCGGTAGGGACATGAACCAGGCCGGCTGGAATTGGTCTCGGCGGGGGCATGCAGCGAATGCCAGCGTCACCTGCAGGTTGGTGATTTTGGAAGAAGCAGGTCTTCGTCACCAAGAGGTATGCAATCAACAGGCTTTGGTGGAGGCGGTGGCGGACAAATGGCCCAACTGAATAATCAAGTTGAGCCAGCGACACGCTTCTCATCCAGTGCCGGCTATGTGGCGCAGCAATTGATCGAGCCCACAGGTTTCAACATGTCACCGGACGTACCAAATTTCTTGAGGGATAGTTATGACTATTCATCGGAAACTCGGAATGGTGGATATGCTGGTTCAATGCTGCCGGAAGAGGCTATCAGCTATGATGAAAACAGTCCCTATGAGATTAGCCCAACGAACCAAATGGCAAGAAGGATGAGGGGCGGTGAGTTCTTTTCCAACGCTGCTGACTGGAGTGGTGCGAGAAGCCAGGCAAACATGTACTACGGCCCAGACGAAGGCTACACACAACCTGGCTACCACACTTCGACAGCTCGCCCCACAAGCGACCTGCTGGCAGATGCCGCTGACTGGAGCTCATCTGGCGGTCAAGCCAGCATCACGCACGATGCTAGTGGATATGGATTTTACGACAATTTCCGCGAAGATGGCTTCTATTAGATGAACCTCCTGGCTTTGGTGGGTCCGTACCTGGGATTCCTTAGCATGGTGGCATTCTTCTGCGCTGTTGTCTCGTAAGGTATGCGCCTCGTCGTCTAGATTATTACAATCTCAGCAGACGCATCCCACGCTATTGACCGCTCTCATGATATTTGCAAAAAGTATCTAACTAATATAACGCAACAGAACATCCACACGCCCGAGGTGATTTGTAACCCTCGGCAGCAGAGGAGACCCCCAATTGGACTTGGCTTTCGATGCTTTCTTCTTTTTTCGCGCATATTGTAGTCGCATCGTCCCTCCTCGCAGGCGTCGCACGTCGCCGTCTGTTTCTTCTTAGTTCATCATTCGTGCAAACGACGATCGATCTCCTCATCCGGCCCTCGAGCAGTCAAATGCATCTTCGTGCCACAGTTTGTCGGCGTTGGTAGGTCGGTTCTTGGGGTAGAATAGGAACGAAGCGCCTTCAAAATCATCCTTGACCTCGAAACCAAAGGCAGGCCAAGAGCATCTGCAGTGCGCTAGAGAGCCAGGTACTAGTACGTCACATAGACGAGATGGACGATCTGGTGGCACTTGGGGTCTTTGCGGCATTTCAATAATGCGTGCTTCCTTTGTTAGTTTCAATGCGAGCTGGAGAGGTTCATCGCCTAATCTTGCTAGCAGCCAGCCAGCCATCCTTTGTTTCTATCGGTCATAGGCTTGAGCGCGAACGACGATGGGATACTGTCGCAATGCTTTTGTGTACAATTTCGAAAGGACAGATATCGGAATTGGGAAGACGTTAAGTCTTTTTCTAGGTCCCTATAGTAAAACAGTACAAACTGACAAAACTGACAAAACTGCGAACTAATACGACATCGTTTCAGAGGAAAAGGAGCAAGGAAACCTCACTGTTATCTCAAGTAAAGGCCCTGGTGCAAGTACCGAGACAACTGGTTGAAAATTCGACGAGAAACAAGAAGATTTGGATAGCAACCGGTGGACATCACGGCATTCGGCAACATCGACCTCTGCCAATCTGCTCAGAAGACTGTTCACAGCTCCATTCAAGCAAAGCACTGTGTTAGGATACCCACCAAGTGAGTCCGTTGAAGATATCATGGAAGATAACGAGAAGGAAGCAGAGAAACCGGCATCTGCCATTCAGCAGAGAGGAACACTAGCAACAGACAAGGCCGCGGGGTCATCCAAAAATGAAAGAAC